ATAATAACATAACTTGGTAACAATGCATGAATGCAAAAAAACTAAAAAAAGATGGAAAAATGCAAAAGGGGGGTTCACTATGGATCGAACTTGTGCCCATGTGTATGCAGAGTGTCTTTAACCAACACTCTCTCCACTGGGGCGCTATGCCAATTCGGTTATTAAACACAAACAATTAAATAAATAATAAAATAACTTGGAACAATATCTGCATCGAAAACCCAAATTCCACCAAATTCCTTTCGTCTTCTTCAAACTTACATCCACAACATTGCAGGAGCAATGATAGTGCTTACTCCAACTGATGTTTGCATTTGTTCAGAAAAACGAACAAATGTAACAAAACACAAAGTTCACAGCTATATATCGCAATGAACATTTAAATAAAAAAGATAACTTATATCACAAGGTACCAGTTGTCTTAATAAGTACGACATATAACTACCAAAAATCTACATCCACATTACAAAATAGCCTTTGACTTCCTTCAGCAGCATTGGTTGGTGCTCTGCACCCATCATCAATCCAGCTTCCTCACCCAAGAAGAATGGATGTCATGCGGATTATACATGTTGAATTGTATATGATCTCCAACTCCAATTTGTATTTTGGCTGTGAACGCCCTCCAACCACTTGATAACCTCATTTCAAATGGATAAGTATCATCCGCATCTAACACACAAAGTTGGGATTTTAAATTTGGACCAACCAGATATATATGATCAAGGGCTGTATTTTCCAAGTATTCTCCGATGGCATGAGGTAAGGTCTGTAATATAATTAAAACAAAATTCAAAATAATATTAGTTGAATCACAAAAAAACCAGAGTTAACAATAACAAAACTAATTAGTGGATTGAGAAACCAACCAAATATTGAGTGGTTTTGGGATCCTCTGACACGGTAACCTTGAATGTCACTGCTTTTCGGAGGGACCGGGTTTTTGTATGCCATGTTGGGAATGAGGCTGGAGTAATTTGTTCCATAATTGGAATGATGTGGAAAGCATTTCCTCCCAAGTACTTGAAGAAAACAAGGTGATGACCTTGTAAGTTATAATGCTCTCTTAAAGTCATCGAGTCGTTGGTAATCCTTGGGATTTTGTCTTTGTCGTTGAATTCAAGCCTTAGTTGGAGACTATTGGCATCATATAGACCCCAAGCTCTTCCCAACTCAACTATGAACTTTTTTTAGAATTCAGGTTCAATCTCACTGTGCACCTAATGATGCCCATGAAATGAAAAACAATTTTATAGAACATAAGGCATTCTTTAAAATGCACACACCATTCAACATAGAAATATGTAGAAATAAAGAATAATAGAACACAAATTCATAAATAGCAAGTGTTTTTTTGAAAGCACGGAAATTTCGAACCCAAGCAAGAATCATTTTAGAAGGACATAAACTTTGAACTCAAGCAAGTATTGTTTTGGAAGGACGAAAATTTTGAATCCAAGAAAGTATCGTTTTGGAAGGACAAAATTTTTGAACTCACAACCCTAAGCTTCTGTGTAAAACCTTATTAACGAACAAACCAACCTAAACTTACTCACAATCTTAATCAACAATTTGAATCTCCATTAAAAAATAAACTCTCACAATAAACGTAAACAACAAATAGGTTATAAAAAATAAATAAAGATCGGTTCATAAAAACCTAATCCACGAACAAATAAACCTAACCTTCGAACTCACAAACCTAAGTAACGATATTTTCATGCCATGCACATAGAAACATTATTGGGTATATCATTAATATAAAACAATGACTCAAAATGATGAAACTTACCTCTCCTTTGACATGCACAGTCATGAAATGGCTCTTCCCCGGTCTTTGAAGAAGTTCAAGCAGCGTTACCATTTTTTATTGTGAAGTTTTTCTTGTGTGTATTGTTGTAGATGGTGTGAATAGTGGAGAACAAGAAAGGAGAATAGATGGTCGCGTTTGGTGGGAGTTAGGTTGGAAGTGAAAAGAGAAGGGATGCACGCGTGTTGACGAGTGGAGATTGAAATTTTAGGGGACACTGGAAAGCCGTAAGACTCCATCGTGTTTTATGGGAGGAATAAATAGTCGACTTTTCATATTCTCATTGGTTTTCCATCTGAACCAATAAGAGATCTTTTTAAAACTGCACCTTATCAATTTCGTACATTATTATAATTATTAATATGTTTCTTTAAATAAATTTAAAAAAGATTTTAAACATAGTAAAACAATCTTACACATTCAACAAATAAAAGCTCTTACATTAGCCTAGTCATTACTCATTACAATATTTTAAAAATAAAAGTGGCATTTATTGTGATGTATGTCTCTCATTGGTTGAGAGTGTAACATTTGTTTACACTATCAGTGCATTTTCTTTTTTTGTTTACATATATACTCAGGAAATGAGCAGCCATTGGATAAATACTAAGATCAACCTCTTCATCGTCATTCATGATCACTCAATCAACTTGCTCCTTATTGACACTAAGCAGACTGGTAGATGAACCGATCATTTTCTCTGGAGTAGTACTTAAACTCATCTTTGGTGAAGATTCAAACTTCAGTCACTTGTATCTGCATTTTTAGTAGCAGTAGCTGATAAATATCAAGATATGAGAGATTATGATTTTCACATCATTGTATGTCACACAAAAATAGATCTTCATCAACCTATACCGAGGGCTCAGGAAATGAGCTGTCATTGGATAAATACTAAGATCAACATCTTTATCGTCACTCATGACCACTCAATCAACTTGCTCCTTATTGACACTAAGCAGACTGGTAGATGAACCAATCATTTTCTTTGGAGTAGTACTTAAACTCATATTTGGTGAAGATTCAAACATCACTCCACTTGTATCTCCATTTTTAGTAGCAGTAGCTGAAAAATATCGATATTAGAGAGATTATGATTTTTACATCATTGTATGTCACCCAAAAATAGATCTTATATATATATATATATATATATATATATATATATATATATATATATATATATATATATATATATATATATATATATATATATATATATATATATATATATATATATATATATATATATATATATATATATATATATATATATATATATATATATATATATATATATATATATATATATATATATATATATATTCAGGAAATGAGCAGCCATTGGATAAATACTAAGATCAACCTCTTCACCGTCACTCATGACCACTCAATCAACTTGCTCCTTGTTGACACTAAGAAGATTGCTAGATGAACCAATCATTTTCTCTGGAGTTGTACTTAAACTCATCTTTGGTGAAGATTCAAACTTCACTCCACTTGTATCTGCATTTTTAGTAGCAGTAGCTGAAAAATATCAAGATTAGTGAGATTATGATTTTCACATCATTGTATATCTCACAAAAATAGATCTTATATATATATATATATGATAATTAAATTTCCCGTAATTTCTCCTATCTTAGAACTCCATAGAAAAATGAAGTTGTAGAAAGGAAGAATAAGACTTTGCAAGAAATGGCCAAAGCTATGATCAATGAGAGTTTTGGGCTGAGGAAATTAACACAATGTGTTATATTTATAACAGGATCCCTATAAGACCTATTCCGAGTAAGACTCCATATGAATTATGGAAGAACGGAAATTCCAGCATTTCATATTTTCATCCTTTTGGATGTGATTATTTTATTCTGAACACTAAGAAAAGTCTAACAAGTTTGGTTCTAAAGCACATAAATGTTTAATGTGAGAATACTCTGAACACTCAAAATGCTATATAGTATATAACACAGAAACACGAATTATTGAAGAATTAATTCAAGTTATATTTGATGATAAGCTTGACCCTGAAAATTCAAAGCTAGTTGAGAAGTTTGCAGATTTGGAGATCACCTACTCAGGCTCTGAAGGTGAAAAAATTGTTGCTAAAGAACCTGTGATAAAGGATTCTGATGATGTTCAACCAGAAGCTGTTCAAGTTCATACTCCTCTAAGGAAGCACAAATAAAGATATTCACATTCTGAAGAACTGATTCTGGGTGACAAGACTGAATTAGTCAGAACCAGATCCTTTTAAACCTTTTGAAGATATGCTTCTAGGTTTGGTTTCTCTCGTAGAACCTACATTTATTGACGAAGTGCTTATGGACACCGAATGGATTTTGGAAATGCAAGAAGAACTCAATCAATTTTCTAGAAATGACGTGGGAGATCTTGTGCCTAGACCCAAAAGAACTCGTGTTATTGGAACTAAATGGGTTTTCAGAAACAAGCTTAATGAGAAAGGAGAAGTGGTAAGAAACAGGGTCATATTGGTAGCATAACTTTATAGTCGGCAAGATAGGATTGACTATACAAAAACCATTGCACTAAATTCCATGTTAGAGTCTGTTCATCTCTTAATTTCTTTATTTGTTAATCATAACATCATCTTGTATCAGTTGGACATTAAGAGTGCATTTCTGAATGGTTATATAACTGAAGAAGTATATGTGTACCAGCCTTTTGGGTTTGAAAATCATAAAAATCCTGATTTTGTTTTCAAACTTAAGAAATCATTAAACGGTCGGAAACAAGCTCTCAGAGCATGGTATGAAATACTAAGCAATTTTCTTTTAGAAAATAATTTTACCAGATGAAAGGTGTATATTTCTTTGTTTTGTAAAATATTCAAAAATGACATTCTAGTAGTTCAAATATAGACAAAATACCCATTTTGTTTCCTTAGCTATACACTTGGGTTCAGATTGGTCCATTAACTTTTTTCGTGTCACCTTGATCCTTTAACTTTTAAATAGAGGCATATGAGTCATTTATGTCTACTTCGTTAGTCAAAGTTTGTTAAAAATCAATGTGGCAGTGACAATTGGATTTGACTATTTCTTGTGATTGAGTTAGCATTGGAAAAATTGACGCTAAAATTTATTTATGGACTTTAAATTTTTGTTCTTAGTCATCTTCCTAAAATTCACCAACTTTCCCATATCCAAAACCACACAACCCTAAAAATATGAGCGTTCCACCACTGTCGCTGCTAATGTGGCCATCATCTCATCCACCGTTCACGTTCTCCCAGTGGCAGGATCTAGAACACCAAGCTATCATCTTCAAGTATCTCAAAGTTGTTTTGTCGGTTCCTTCAGCCATCCTTTTTTCGTATTCGGAAAAGTATTTAATTGATGTCTCACCCATCTCTTAAGCCGAAGCAAAAACAACCCAACAAAGTTAATCTTTGTCATTTTGTTTCTATTTTTCCTGTAGAACTATAAAGTTTGTTCCTTTTTTATTTTGTTTCAGCGGAAGAACCAATGGAAAAAATGGAGACTCCATGGAAGAACTAAAACCACTTTTATGAAGCATCCCGATTACAATTCCAAGAATCATGACATCTATCATTCTTATAACAACCCATCTTTTTATGAAACAATTTAGCAAATCAGGCGAGACCTATGAGAAATTATGCTCTATCAGTAACAATAAAACAATTTTTCATTATTATTTTTTTGTTAACAAGAATATACAAATGGATTCGGATCGAGAAATGAAGTCTTTGATGTTTGTATCAGAAATTTGTTTCATCTTGAAGCATTATTGTAGAAGTACTTTTTTTAGTGAATTTTGGGGGAAATAAGTGATTTCCTAAAAAGGGGTTTTGGTGGTTCGTTGTTGAACAAACCATCATTTTGAAGATTGAACTCTAATCAATCATCGAGAAAGGACGGACAGGGTTTTGGTGGTTCGTTGTTGTTTCAGAGCTAAAGTTAAAAAATCCAAAAATAATTTTTAGCGTCAGCTTTTCCAACGCTAACTCCATCACAAGAGTTGGTTAAATCCACCTATTAATGCCACGTAGATTTTTAACATGCTTTGAATAACAGTGTAGACATAAAAGACTCATATGTCTCTATTTAAAAGTTAAAGGACCAAGGTGACACGAAAAAAATAAGAGACCAATCTGGACTCAAGGGTATAGTTAAGGGACCAAAATGGATATTTTGCCTCAAAAACATGTAGATGATATTATATTTGGTTATGCTAATGCTACCTTGTGCAAGGAGTTTGCTAAGTCTATGTAGACTGAATTTGAGATGAGTCTGATGGGAGAACTCAAGTTCTTTATTAGAATCCAGATTAACCAAAGTCTAGAAGGGACATTTATCCATCAGAGCAAGTACACCAAAAAACTTCTGAAGAAGTTTGACTTGTCAGAATGCAAGAAAACCAAGACTCCAATGCATCCTGCGTGTATTCTTAAGAAGTATGAGGTAAGCAATAAGGTAGATAAAAAGTTGTACAGAGGAATGATAGGTTCTCTATCATACTTTACTTCTTTTAGACTAGGAATTTTATTCAGTGTCTGCTTATATGCTCGCTTCCAATCAGATCCTAGAGAATCACACTTAACAATTGTTAAGAGTATTTATAGGTATCTAAGAGGTGCTACTAGCCTTGGTTTGTGTTATAAAAAATAAAATGAGTACAAGTTAGTAGGTTATTTTGATGCTGACTGTAACACCCTATTTCCTCAACGATAATTTTTATAAAAATCAGAGTAAAATAAAACTCCAAAATAGGATGTCACATCATTCAACATATTCAAATTTTGCTCAATTAAGATAAAATAGATACATAACACACATTTCGAGTGAACCAACAACATTTCAACATAGTCTTCAAACTTCGATTTTAATAATGCAGCGGAAAGAATTTCATAATTTTTCTAAAATCTTCAACCATCATAAAATCAACAATTTAATCAATTAAAAGAGAGTCTACAACACTCCCAAAATTCTCAAAGAAGACAACAACTAAAATAAAACAATCGAGCGTTCATCCCCCCCGGTGTTACGTATCATAGCAAGGACACCCACTCAAAATAAAAGGAGCAACCTCTTCTAGACTCTGCGACTTCACACTACTCCTGGTTATATGCACGTTAACCACGTAGAGGCAACATTCAAACAATAAGGGTGAAATATCGTGACAATATAATAAGTAATATAATTAAGAGTAAACAACAAGTATATCATGCAAGAATCCAAGTTCGACATTTATTAGTCACCCCACTCCAACAAGTCAATAATTCAACAAATGTAGTGCAACTCACTCTGATGCAAGATGCATGTGGTAACATCAAAGCATAATCCCTCAACAAATTTCCATATAGGCAAGGGCATACGCTCTCAACAATTACCAATACAGGCCAGGGCATAAGCCCTTAACATTTGCCATAAAGGTCAGGACATAAGCCCTCAACGATGCATGAAATGCAATATGCTACAACCAAAATTATGTAATTCCAAGCATACCATCAACATCAAGTTAATTTTCAGGCCAACATCACCTTCGTATTACTGCAACATCACCTGTAAATTCTTCGCACATCATGGGTACGACAAGACACAACTTATCACGACATTTTGGTGTCATAACTCATCCAACATACACTTTCATCGCAATTATTCCAATAAAATATTAGACCACTGTTATAAAACTTAATTTCATATTATAGAAAATATTTTTATCTTTTCAACGGTTCAAATGTTGTATCAAACGGACACCCGAGGTGAAAGTTATGTTTTTTTAAAGTTTCCAAAAATTCTGCCAGCTTCAACGGTAACCGGTTATCCAGTTATGGTAACTAGTTACTGCTAGACAGTAACCTTGCCTTTTCCCAAAATTCTCCATGGTAATCGGTTACCTAGTTACGGTAACCAGTTACTGCAAGGCAGTAGTCAAAATTTTCAAAACCGCAAACAGCGATAACCAGTTACCCAGATATGGTAACCAATTACCCATCACGAACAGACCCAAAAATCTGAATTTTCTGCTACGAAATCCCATCCTCTTCATCCAAAAACCATTTTTCATGAAAGATCAAACACATCAATTATTTTAAATCATCAACACATATCATATACCACATTTCCAACACAATCAACGCATCAATCTCATCATTTACAAGCAATTACAACAATCAATTTTACAACAATTTACCCCAAAAACCTAATATTCAATATCATCATCTAGCCGCAATTAAACCACATATTAGAAAGTCAGAACTCCACCCTTACCTTAAGTTTGATGATTCTAAGCCCTTTACCGGAGATTTCTCACCCTAGCTTGTATGCTCTTCTCTTCTCTTCGTTCTTCTCTTCTCACTTCTACGTTATATTCCTCGTGTATTTACTTCTGTTGTTCTAACTACACTCTTTAAACCCCTAAATTTATATACCAACTTTTCCCCTCCTCTTATTATTAGGTTTATTTTAATTATTAATTATTAATATTATAAATTAGTATTTATCTCTTATAATAATAATAGTAATTATAATAATAATAATAATAATGTCGCTAATATTCTTCATTCACCCCATGTCTCTATGTTTTTAACCATACACCCCTAACTTCTTCAATTATCACTACTTCTAAATTTCCGACATAATCATCAAAACTCATTATAAGATCATCAACACATATAAGCACACATCATCATCTATTTTATTCCAATAAAATAATTTCAATTAAATCAGGGTGTTACAACTCTCTCCCACTTACAATATTTTAGTCCTCGAAAATTACTTGAGTTAAATAGCTCTGGATAAGCCTCCCGCATCTTTCTCTCTAATTCCCATGTCGCATTCTCTCCGGCAGCTCCGCCCCAAACCAATTTCACAAGAGATATCTCTTTTCCTCTCATCTTCTTTACCTCTCGATTCTCGATCCTCACAAGTACGGTTTCAACAATAAGATCATCCCGCACTTGAATATCATCAATTGGAATTACATGCGACGGATCGAAAATATACTTTAGGAGTTGCGACACATGGAATACATCATGTAAATTCGATAGATTAGGTGGCAAGGCCACTCTATATGCAATAGTCCCAACCTTTTCTGAAATTTGATACGGACCAATAAACCAAGGAGTCAACTTCCTTGACTTCAAAGCACGTCCTACACCGGTCACCAACGATACTCTCAAGAATACATGATCTCCTTCTTGAAATTCAAGGTATTTTCTTCTCTTATCATGGTAACTTTTCTGCCTACTCTGCGAGGCCCTCGTCTTGTCTTGGATCATCTTCACTTTCTCTGTAGTTTCTTGTACGATTTCCGGTCCAAGTACTGTATTTTCACCAGATTCATACCAACACAATGGCGTCCTGCACCTCCCACCATATAACGCCTAGAAAAGTGCCATACCAATACTAGAATAGAAACTATTGTTGTAGGTGAACTCAATCAATGGAAGGAAACTATCCCATGTACCTCCTTGCTCAAGAACACAAGCTCTCAACAAATCTTCTAGCGACTAAATAGTCCTATTCGTCTAACCATATGTCTGTGGATGATATGCAGAACTCAATTTCAACTTTGAACCCCACGCATCCTGCAAACTCTTCCAAAAATCAGAAGCAAATCTTGGATCTCTATCTGATACCACACTAGACGGAACACCGTGCAACTTCACAATCACTCGAATATAAATCTCCGCCAACTTCGGTACAGAAAAATTAATACTGATCAAAATGAAGTGAGCTAATTTCATTAATCTATCAATAATCAGCCAAATTGCATCGTGTCCTCTTGGAGTACTTGGCAGCCCCGTCACAAAGTCCATATATATATACTATCCAATTTCCACTCCGAAATGTCTAAAGGTTCCAACAGCCCTGCAGGTTTCTGATGTTCAACTTTCGACTTCTGATAAGTCAAACATGCATACACGAACTGTGCCACATCTCGTTTCAACCCGGACCACCAAAATAACTTCTTTAAGTCATGATACATCTTGGTAGCTCCCGGATGAATACTCAAACTGCTTCTATGGCTCTCTTCCAAAATCATCTTTCTCACTTCAGCATCATCAGGAATACAAATCCTATTTTGGAATCTCAACACACCTTAGGCATCTACTTTAAAGTCATTATCTCCATATTTGTTACTCTCGACCATCAAATCTACTAACTTCACATCTAACTTTTGAGCTTCTTTAATATTATCTAAGAAGTCATTGTTAATCTTCAACATCCCCAACATCACACTTTGCTGTGTCACTTTGCAGACCATACTCATGTCTCTGAATTGTTCGATCAACTCTAGTTCTCTAACCATCATAGTAGACATATGCAAAGTCTTTTGACTCAAAGCGTCAACAACAACATTAGTTTTACCTGGATGATAATTCAAGCCAAAGTTGTAGTCCTTCAATAATTCCAACCATCTCCTCTTCCTCATGTTCAATTCCTTTTGATCAAATAGATACCACAAGCTTCTATGATCACTAAACACTTCAAACCAAGAACCATAGAGATAATGTCTCCAAATCTTCAGCACAAACCCCGCTGCAGC